CGGATAATTCTGGAGGAATTTCAAAAGTTTTAGGAAAACACATTAGATTTGCCACTTCTCTTGGAGAAAGTCGCCGCACAACATCTCTCAAGCTTTGTGCATCGTCCAAAGTTGACTGGTTTAAATGGTTGTTAACTACCAAATCAGGTCTAAAACTTAAGATCAACATATAGAAATAGAATATAAGGCGCATATTAAGAATACCTGTAGCAAATATATGAGCCGCACCCAGATATATAACTACCATAGGACTTCGTAAAGCAAGCCGATCTTGTGGAGCTTGGCAAGATCACATCTATAGCACATCCATACTTTTGCAGCACATTTTCATCCAAATAGAGTGAAGAGGTATGAGACGGTTCACATAGAAATTCACTAATCTCTTTTAGTTCCGAAGAGCTATTTGGCCGAAATTGATCGGCGATATCCTCAGCGAGCCCTACGACGGGGAAGTGGGTGGAAGCCATGAGGTAATATCGCGGACGCGAATTGGGGATGCCAAACTGGAGCGGCGAAAGTATGCACTCCTGAGTAGAAACCCATAAAATCTATTCTGCCAAAAAAACTCAGAGTCACCTTTACTCCATACTTCAGTTCAGTGAGGATCTCAACAATTGCGTCGTGCACCGAAGACGTCTCAAATCCAACAACATTTTCCAAAAGAATGTAAGTTGGGCGAAACTTCATCAGCTTCAAATTCCCCATAAGCACCATCAGTGAATCACACCGTCGGTCGTCCATGCCTAGCTGCAGGCCTTTTCTATAGGAAAAAAATCATTAGAAAAACGAAGAGAAAATGTATATGTCCTCAGCGCTACTGAATTAAATAATTTCCAAGAAATTCAGAAGGAGAACTATTAATCAAACAATTGTGAATTTTTTCACTCATATTTTCGCTCAAATAAAAGTTTAAAAGGCTTTGAATTCCGAAGAATCACCTCCTTTAGCCTCTATGACCATAGAACTGATCTGAAATAAGTTTCAAAACTGTGGAACTCCAGTGACAGCAACTGTTGGGTGGTTTTGTTCCAGAAAGGCCATAAACCTCAAAACCGTCGACCACTTTCACGAAAAATGTCTTTATAAAGCGTCCTTTACTTTCTGCACTACCAGTGATAGACAGCAACAACTTTGCATGATAAAAAAAAAGAACAATCTTTTTGTATCAATGGGAAGACCCAGATTCGAATGACTGAATAGTGATTTCGTTTTTTCTAAGTCACCAGTCAACTATACCAAAGTGAAGTGCTCATGTTGAATTCCTGCTTGAATATAGTCAGGTGACATTAAGAATATGCCGTATTGATGACATAATTTGCTAGAATACCTGATTGAAATAGTGTTGAGTGATGCTAAAAATTGTTGGAAAATAAGCAAAACAATAGTGAGGATTTCAATAACAGAAATCCAAGTTTATAAAAAATGCAGACTCTTGAAGTTCATGTAATTCAGGGTTCTGAGTCTAATATTAAGCAAATTGGCCTACATGGCACCCAAGGATTGTTGCATCTTTAATGTTTCATCTTCATCTTCAATGTTTGCTCTTAACAACTTATTACCTTCTTTCCTTAGATAATGACTGTCAAATTTTTTTGTGACCCTTAGAAAAAAGCAGTTCTAAAGCACCAAAATCCACTACTCTTATCTTCACATTTACTCTAAATACAATTGAAACAACAGATTTTGATGGCTATTTCGTTTTTTTT